GGATCAGATAGTGCATTTTTAGCGGGGTGGGGGATACTGGGGATTGAACTCAGGGGACTCCACCTCTGAGCCACATCCCCAGCCCAATTTTGTATTTTGAGTTGCTTAGTGCCTTGCAGTTGCTGAGGCCCTCTACCAACTGAGCTATATCCCCAGCGTGAAATACTGCATTTTTAAAAGGAGCTTTCAGTCCAGTTGTAGAGAAAAAATAGAAACTAGCACTTACATTTCCAGGTAGAACAAAATAGGTGCTATAAAGAAGGGGCAAAGCTGCCAGACATGGTGGGGCACATCTATAATCCCAGCAATTTGGGAGGCTGAGGGAAGAGGACCACAAGTTCAAAGCCGGACTCAGCAACTTAGGCCCTAAGCAACTCAGCAAGACCCTGTCTCTAAATAAAAAGACAGAAAGGGCTAGGGATGTGGCTCAGTGATTGAGTACTCCTGGGTTTAGCCCCTAATACCAAAAAAGAGAACAACACACACACACACACACACACACACACAAACGAAGGGACACAGTGAACCAATCTTTATTTCATCAATTTGGTCAAGAGAACCTAATGTTAAGGTTATATTAATATTATAAGGTAGCCAGGAATGGTGGTGTGTGCCTGTAATCCAAGCTGCTTGGGAAGATGAGGCAGGTGATTCACCAGCTCCCGGTAAGCCTGGGCAACTTAGTGAGACCTTGTGTCAAAATAAAAAGGGCTGGGAATGTAGCTCAGTGGTAGAGCTCCCCTGGGCTCAATCACTAGAACCGTTAAAAAAAAAAAAAAAAAAAAGCAGGGGCTGTGTGCAGTGGCACACGCCTGTAATCCCAGCAGTTTGGGAGGCTGAGGCAGGAGGATCTCGAGTTCAAAGCCAGCCTCAACAATTTAGTGAGACCCTAAGCAACTCAGTGGGACCCTGTCTCTAAATTAGGGGCTGGGGATGTGGCTCAAGCGGTAGCGCGCTCGCCTGGCATGTGTGCAGCCCGGGTTCGATCCTCGGCACCACATACAAACAAAGATGTTGTGTCCGCCGAAAACTAAAAAATTATTAAAAAAAAAAATTAAATGCAAACAAGGGCTGGGGGTGGCTAGGTGGTTAAGCACTCCTGGGTTTAATCTCTGGTGCCCTCCCCCCAAAAAAGAAAGAGCAGGTGTTGTGCATATTCCTAAGACACCTCATTGTAGAAATGATAGGGAAATTTAAAAAACAAATAGGAGTGATAGAGCTCATAGACCTCTTCTTATCTAAATATATCTATTTTCATGTATTTGACTAGTAGCAATAGTAAGTATCTGTTTCTTAATTATGTACTAAATTTCTCTTCTTGCCACCCTTGTGTCCTTGTTTAGGCTCTCCTTTCCACTTGTATGGGATCCTGATTGGGCCACTTGGCTCTGATGTTGCATTCCTTCTGGTTGATTGTCAACATTACTGCCATATGGATGTTTTACTGGCAGGACCTTTATGAAATGCAAATCTAACCAAGTTCCTCCTTTACTTAAAGTCTGTACCTAGCCTGGGCAAGGTAAGCATACCATAATCTCAGATTCAGGAGGTGAAGGCAGAAGGATCACAAGTTCAAGGCCAGCCTCAACAACTTAGTAAGACCATGTCTCAAAAAATAAAAGAGGGCTGGGAGAATAGCCCAGGAGAAGAGCACCCTTGGGTTAAATCCCCAGTACACACACACACACACACACAAAGTCTACGTTTTGGGGCGTGCTGGAGATGGAACCCAGGGCTTCCCACACACTAGGTAAGCACTCTACTACTGAGCTACATCTCCAGTTTCTCTGCCTAAGATCTTTTGATGACCAAACATCTCCAGGATGGAGCCCAAGTCTTGGCAATCAAGGCCTCCGTGATGAATAAGGCTCTGGCTGCCTCCTCAGCTTCCCAGGCTATTCCTCTGCCCTGCACCTCAGCACTTGTGTCCCCTTTCCCATCCTCACTCCATGGCTGACCTGCTGTTCCCACTGTACAGAATGCCTTCTCTGCCCTCATTTGCCTAGGAAATTCCTACAGTTCTTCAAAATCCAGCTCAAATACTTCCTGTAAGAAGATTCTCTGATCTCACCAGTTTGAATTGGGGTACGCTGCGCCTCTCATCTCAAGCCCACTGTGGTTGGTTCACTTGTCTCCTGTCCCCACCACAGGTCAGTGTCTTGTCCTCTGTACCCAGTGTCTTCCGGTGCCTCACACAGAGTTGGTGTTCAGTAAATGGTACCTTTCAGACAGAAGGATGGCCCAAGTAAACACATAAGGAATGGGGTCTGGTCTGCCTAGAGTCCAAGAATGTACAGGACAAGCAGAGATAAAGGCTGCAAGAGGATTTGGGTTGGCTTTTTCTCCCCCACTTTTTTAAAATACTGGGAATTGCAACTGGGTGCTTTACCACTGAGCCATAGTCCTTGTTTATAAATTTTTTTTTTTTTTGGTACCTGGGATTAAACTCAGGGGCACTCGACCACTGAGCCACATCTCCAGCCCTATTTTCTATTTTATTAGAGACAGGGTCTCACTGAGTTGTTTAGTGCCTTACTAAATTGCTGAGGCTGGCTTTGAACTTGTGATCCTCTTGCCTCTGCCTCCCGAGCCGCTGGGGTTACAGGCCTGCGCCACTGCAGCCCAGCACGTTTTTGATTTTTTAACCCAGGGCTTTGTGCATGCAAGGCAAGCACTCTACCAACTGAGCTACTTCCCCAGCCCATTTAATTTTTATTTTGAGACAGGATTTAATTAAGTTGCTGAGGCTGGCCTGGAACTTGGGATCCTCCTGCCTCAGCCTCCTGAGTTGTTGGGATTACAGACCTGTACCACCATCCCTGCTCTGCATTGGCTCTTTGAAAGCCTTGGGAACTAGAGACTCTGCATCTTATATGATGAGCAGTTGAGAACCGCCAGGTGTTAGATGATCAGAACAGGGCGGAAGATGGGAAGATGGACCGGAGGACAGGCTGGGGTTGGGAAGCAGACAGCTGTTAGCTCTGTGGTACAGAAACAGCAGCCAGGAAGATGGTGACTAGCGAAGGCCACGCAGCTGTAAGTGGCCGAAGTAGAAGGTGAACTGTGCCAAGTCTGGAGATCTGAGGGCCACTCCAGGAGGGAGGCACGGTCGGTAGCTGGGCTTCAGGCTGTCCACAAGGCAGAAGGGTGCCGCCTCAGTTGGACAGGGAGCTTGTCTGCACACACAGTGCTGCCCTCTCTGTGACTTAGCACCCTTATTTTCTATTCACACAGAGTCCTCCCTGGCGTGGAACAACACATTAAGGCCTCTTAGCAATCCAGGCCGCTTTGATCTTGTTGCACTCCACACTTCCTATGACAGGGGAAGAGCACTTAGAGAACCAGGTGCCAGCTGCATTTCTTTTTGTTTGTTTTGTTTTTCTGTTCGGTGCTGAGGATTTAACCCAAGAGCACTTTACCACTGAGCTACATCCCCATCCCTTTTTAGTTTTTTGAGACAGGGTTTCACTAAGTTGCTTAGGGCCCTGCTAAATTGCTGATGCTGTCCTCTACTTGAAGTCCTCCTGCCTCAGCCTCCCAAGCCACTGGGATTACAGGCACCAAGGCACCCAGCTGACAGCTGCGCTTCAGAAGCTGCCCAGAACTAGTCCAGTGACTGACTACACAGGGACTGGGGAACGCAGGAAGGAGAAGAGAACAGGCATACCTCATGAGGAAAGGAATACTGCTACTACACCTGTGGGAAAGGAACGGCAGGCCGCGGAGGCAGAGGTCCAGAGAGGAGATGCACGGAACAGAAGGGTTTGGATGTTAGGTCAGGACTGTTCTGGTCACCTTAGAGGAAGGCCTCTCTCCATGGACATGGGTGAGCGGGTGTACGTTGTGCCAGGGAGTCCTTGCCTGTCGCCGTGTGCGGTGAAGCCTGGGAACTGAAGAGCAGAGATGACTCTCTCAAATGGCAGCTGGCTGAGGCCTCGGTTCCTTGCCACATGGGCCTCTCCAGGGGGCGGTCACACAACATGGCATCTGGCTTCCTCCAAGGCAAATGATGAAAGAGACCCAAGTAGGAGCCATGACTTAGCCCTGGCAGTCACACGCTTCACTCCCACCGCCTTTCACTGGCCGCACAGGACAACCAAGATGCGTGTGGGAGGGGACCAGAGAGGTGTGAATACCAGGCGGGGAGGCGGAGGTCATCTTGGAAGCTCCTTCCAGAAGCTGGCCTAGAGGACACTTCCTGCTTGGTTTCTGTTGTCCCTCTGTCCTGCTGACGGAGATCATGAGGTAATGACAGGGCTCAGCACAGACGGAGGCATTTTGCAGATGAGGAAACCCAAGCCACAAGGGCACTCCTGTGCTTGCCTGACTCCCTGTGCGCGGGCCGCAGCCTGAATTTTCGGCGCCCACGTCCCTGAACATGTGCTGTGATCTGTGAGGGTGTTCTGCCCCGGACCCCGACGCCAGCACCCAGCACAGGTGGGGGGCGGCAGTAAGCCAAGCGCAACACACTGCCACCGACTCGCCACCTCCCGCCCCTGGCACAGCTGTGGTGAGGGGGCACAGCAGGGGCAGCTCGGCTCAGCAGGGGGCGCTAGATGGGGGGGCCCTTTGGGACCTGTGAGAAGAGGGAGTGTTTCCCTGGCACTGTCAAGGTCCTCCCACTTGAGCCAAGAGCAGAGGGCCCTGCGGGGGAGGCTGCAGCTCCAAGGTGGACCACACCTGGGCCGCTCCTGTGGCCAGACAGGTTTCGGCCGAGGAGTCAGTCAGCAGTCAGAGGGCTGGACTGGCCTCGGGTGGCTTGGTTTCTCTGATGTCCCAGGGTCCCTCCTGAAGCTTCCTTCGAGCTAGACAACCTGTCCCCCATCCTGGGGCTAACTCCTCCTGGCAGAGCACCTGGAGCACATCCTTCAGGGACACGGGGAAGTGCTCTCCCCCCACCATCCTCCGCCACAGGTGAAGCTCGGCCTCGAACCCTGGCAGGGCTGCCCCAGCCCTTCCTCCCCCCCTCGGCCGCACCAAAGAAAGCAAAGCCCAAGACGGAGTATCAGAAACGTGTATTCTTTTTCTTTTAATAGTAAACCTCTTTACAACAAATATAGTGAAAGAGTTTTCAAACAAAACTCATAAGAATCTCGAGGACTTCTGTCTTTTCTTATTGTGTAGAATACTAAGAAAGCATCACCGTACAGCACGAAAGAAATATCCAAAACAAACCAACAGCCGCACACTTGGACTCGCCCTGCCCGGCCCGGAAGGAGCCCCAGGAGTGTGGGTGATTGTCGGGTTTGGGGGTGGGTCACCTCCATGGCCGTCTCCCCTCCCTTCCTCCCTCGTCTCTACCCCTCCCTCTCAACTGGGACAGAATGAGGAAGAGGATCCGGACTGCCAGGGATCAGCTCCCAGCCCCCTACAGGTCCCAGAGCTTCTGACTGCTGCAGGGCAGAGGGGGCCAGAGGCAGAGGGGGCGGGAGAGTTCCCAGGCTCTGTCCCTCTCCGGGAGAGCCTATCCCCCCACCCCAGGGGATTCCAAAGAGTCAGTTAAAAATATATAGATAGATATTTCTAGATACACTTTTACATCATTTGTCTCTCCAAACAAATAAATAATTAGCAAGAGAAGGTGCATTACTTCCTTCCTGTCCGAGGTGAGGAGGGCGGGTGGGCGGGACGGGATCGGTCTCCTGCACTGAGTGCGGTGTCAGGGAGGGGAAAGGCTGTTCCACTGAGGTGTGGGGGCGGTCCTCTTGCCCACTGTCCCTGAAAACTGTGGGAGACCTGGGAAGGGGAGGGGCCTTGGATGACTCCAGTGGTTACTTTGGCAAGTGCCCGGTTTTTCAGAGGGAGTGGGTGGAGGCAAATTTGGCTTGTGAAAGGAAGAAAAGGTCCCACTTGAGGTCTGGGTTCCCAGGGACCCATATATCTGGCTGGCCAGGAGCCCCTGTCCCCAAGAGAACTTGGGGGTATTGAATTATGGAAATGTCACATATTCACTCACAGCCCACCCACTACTGCCAAGGACAGAGAAGAAAGGACACACACACATCCGCACGTGGTAATCAAAATCCAGCTTGGCCTTCCGAGGCGGAGGGCAAAACTGGTTAAATATTGCACCGTGAACTGCAGGGGCCTCACCCCAGCCCGCACTGAATGGTGGCCAAGCTTGACCTAGAAAGGTGGGCAGACTGATGATGGTAGGAATAGCCTGAGAAGAGAAGGTCATTCGACGTTTATTGAGCACCTATCATTCACCCATTCAGCATTTACTGAGTGCCTACTGTGTGCCAGGTGTGGGCAAGGCTCTGGGAGCACATGTGTACATGACTATACCCTAGCTTCTTTTGAGGCCCTGACCCAGGTTCCTTGATTCTTGCAACACCCTCTGGGAACCTTCGGGTGGCAGGGGTGGGGGGTGGGGGGGCTGGGGGGCTGGATGTGCCACATCCTTGTGGTCAGCAGGTGGGGTGAAGCTGTGGGTCAGGAGGGATCACTGCTCGGTTGGGGGAGAGCCTTGGGGGGCAGAGAACCGGAGTTGTGCTCTGAACGCGGGAATTCCCTGAAGGAAGCCGTGTGTCAAGGTGGGGACTGAGTGGAGGCGCAGGCTCCGGAGGGAACCCGGGAGAGGTAGGCGCAGGGAGAAGCGAAGGGGCGGCTGCCCAATCCCAGAGCGGAGGACAGAGCGGTGGAAGAGGGAGTGAGGGTCCCAGAGCCAGAAGCCAGGGCAGCCACCTGTCTCACTGTGAACACAGCCAGCGCAGACACAGGGACGCCCTGCACTCCGTCACACAAAAGGCCACCCACACAGTCACGCGCCCCCACACAAACACAAAGGTGCACTCAGACACAAACACCAGATGCCCTCAAGAACACTCAGGTCACGTGTGGTCACGCACTCCTCTCTGCTACTGGTTCCTTCCCGTGTCAAGTGTGGGAATACTGCAGAGGCTGGGTCACAGGGGGGCAAAGAGGGTCATCTACCACAAAACTGGGCCTGGTCTAAGGCTACTCTCCAACCGGAGGAAACCCCACGGGACCTGGACTTGCGAGGAGTGGGGCGGCACCCCTGAGGGCAGGTGGTGCTGGACACGGCCGGGCTGCCCCTCCAGGCTGAGATCTGGTCCAGCCCTAGGTCTCGGGACCCCGTGCTCTGAGTGCCCCTTGGGCTCCTTGCCACCGCCCCACCGAGGAGGCAGTGGAGCAGGGCCACCGGGCAGGGGACGGGAGGGGACGGGAGAGGAGGGAGCAAGAACAACAGCAGAAGAATCTCGCCTGTACAGTACGGGCCTTTGAGTCGTTATTATTACAATATACTTTGACAAAAATAGAATCTCATTTCATATCAATACAACAACAAAAACAACAACAACAACAAAACAGTTTCCTGGACTGTTACACCGCTAACGTTTCCAAAGGTTGCTATTTACAATTACAGTAGCCAAGAGGGACGGTGGGACAGGCCTGGAGGTGGTGGGACAGGAGGTAGCGAGACAATGAGGGTGCCAAGAGCAGGGGATGAGGAGGGCGGGGGACCCAGGAGGGATCGGGAGGAGCCCTCTAGATGGAACCCATCTGTAGGGACCTCCTACCCCTTGGGCCATCCCAGTGTCCACTCCTTGGGAAGCGTGCAAGGCAGAGGAAGTCCCCTCCCCATACCTGCCCTCAGGCACCCCGGGGAAGCCTAGGGCCCCACTCTGCCCAGTCCTGGAGCCACCTCCCTAAAGGTCCTCTCCCCACGTCTCCCTGCACACCGAGGCCAGCTGGACAGGGCTGGGTCAATGGAGGGATGGGGAGCTATTGCACTGTTTATCTTAGAGGAAAAAGCCGGGGGAGGGAAAGGGCCCACCTTCGCCCTCTGCCCAGCCCTTCGGCCCTCCTCGGCCCTCTCCTCATGGTTCGGTCTCTCTCTTCAAATGTGCTTCCAGAGAGGCCACCTCTACCCCGTCCCCGCCCAGGTTCCCAGGCAGTCTTCCCAGCCCAGAAGCTCGGCCGCCACCCACGACCTTGGGGTGCAGCACACAACAGTCAAAAGGGTGTCGTGTATGTCGGTTATTTTGGGGCCAGGCTTGGGCCCCGTGTGCCCAGAGCCGTGTGGCAGCCAGCAGAGCGCCCCTGCCTCTCCCGCTGCCCCCACACACACCAGCAGCCCCCGGCCTCCAGCCTGCTGTGGGGTTTTGCTGTATGGTAGTTTTTTGGTTCTTTCCCTCTGTCTGGGGCATGGCATGGGGGGCTCCAAATGCAGGGCTCGGCACCTGTCCTTTCCCAAAGGCCTACTGGGCCCCCCTTCCTGCAGCATATGTGTACAACGTGCAAAGTGTCCCCCCCTTCCCGCAAAAAAAGAGAGCCCCCGCCAGTGAAAATGGCGGGGGAGAGAAAGAAGGGACGAGAGCATCCCTCTCTCCAAAGCCAGAATCCAAATTAAAAAAAATATAATAATAATAATAATAATAATATAATAATTATACACAAATGTAACCGTCAACAGGACACAGGAGCACAGAAAGGAAGTGGGGGTCGAGCGGGAGGAGCCCAGGACAGGGGTGGGCGGTGAGATTGTCAACTCTTCATCGGGGAGGCTGAGGAGGGGAGAGGGAATCGTCACTTTAATGTCTGCGGAGAGAGGAGATGGAGAAGGGGTGTGAGGGTGGCCAGCTGCGGGTGCACCCCACGCCCCTCTCCCCGGGCCAGGAATGGGGCGGCCGGCTGTGGGGGCGTAGAGCAGAGGTCTGACGCTGGGGGGCTGGGCTTCAGCGAGGAGGAGGGCTGTTGGTGCGCCCCAAAGGGCTGGTGGCGGCGCCGGCCACAAGGCCTCTCCAGTGGGAGAGCGAACAGTGGGGGCATGTGGGGCGTCCCCTGGCGGGCGGAGCAGACAGTGCAGGAGGAGGGACGAGGCTACAGTACCCAGGTGTCGAGCCGCATCCTCTTCACGGCGGAGCCCTCGGCCTCAGGCTCAGGGGCCGGGCGCAGCAGGCCCAGCGTGGGCCCGAAGTCCCCCCGTCCGTCGTCCCGGTCCCCAGTCTCATAGGATCCCCCTGCTGGGCTGCTGAGACCGTCACCAGGCTCAGGGCGGGCGGCGGCCGGGAACACAGCTGGAGGGGGAGGCGCGGGGCTGCGCTCGCGGCTCGGGGACACGGGCTCGGACTTGATGCTGATGTGCGGGTGGGTGGTGACCGTGAGGGCAGCACCCACATGGGGCAAGGGGCTGCCCGGGCTGGAGGCAGGAAATGGGCATGGGGTGGGGGGGCCAGAAACAGAGGGGTAAGTGACAGGCCAGTGAGAAGACAGAGACAAAGAGCAGGAGAGAGAATGGGAGCGGGAGAAGAGGGAGAGGGGACGGGCCAGCGGAGAGAACATGAAGGGGGGGAGATAAAACAGGCCACTTTAGTTCTCATCCTGTCACCTTCTGCAGCCTGGGGCTGGCTGGGGGACAGGGCCCAGAGGGAGTCTCCTGGGCCGGTACAAGGTACCCAACAGAGCTTCACGGGAGACCCACCGAGGGACAGGCGGGGACAGGCGGCCCTCCGCAGGACCCCGTCTCCCTCCCCTCACCCCCAGGCACCCACGGCAGGTCTCGCGAGGACTCACATGAGGTTGCCGAGAGACACGGGGACCAGGTGGGGCTGCTGCTGAGGTGGCTGCGGCGGCTGGGGCTGCTGCGGCTGGGGCTGCGGGGGCTGCGGCTGGGGCTGCGGGGGCTGCGGCTGCGGGGGCTGCGGGGGCTGCTGTGGCTGTTGCCAGGCGGTGACGTTGCCTAGCGACAGCCCCCCAGGCGAGCTGAAGGCCGGGAGGGAGGAGAGTTCTGCGCTGGTCAACTGGTAATCTGCAGGGGGAAGGCGGAGGGTCAGGACGGGAGCTGAGGGCCAGCGCCAAGGGTTCAGAGAGGCACTCAGCGAAAGGCAGTCATAATAACAGGAGGTGCCTTAAAAAAACATAGGCTGAAAAGACGGGTGGTTTGGGCTGGGGATGTGGCTCAAGCGGTAGCGCGCTCGCCTGGCATGCGTGCGGCCCGGGTTCGATCCTCAGCACCACATACCAACAAAGATGTTGTGTCCGCCAGATACTAAAAAATAAATACTAAAATTCTCTCACTCTCTCTTTAAAAAAAAAAAAAAGACGGGTGGTTTTAAAAATAGTGTTGAAAATTTTTTTAAAGAAAAATTCTGTGTAGGTATCACTTTCGTGATGACAATGATAAAAAGGAAAAGCCAAGGGGAACAAAGGTGAGCAGGGAAGGTCCAACTGTGTCTGTCGTTACCTGTCTGACTCTCCAGCTGCCTTTCTGAGGCAGTGGGGACCCACAGGGAACCCTAGGCACATGAGGCCCAGCAAGCAAATGTGCCACCATGCCCACTTCTGCACAGCCCCAGGAGTCTGCAGTCTGTAGAGACCTTCACCAACAGCACGGGCCTGGGCCCGCACTGCACCACAGACGCGGAAGGTGCACCTTGGCTCCCAGTCCTCGAACTCGGGTGCAGGGCCTCGGACACAGGGTCAGGCCAAGGCTGCACCTGGGGGCACTGCTTTTCTGAAACATCTAGCTTGATCAGTGAAGACACTGTGATGTTTGCCCTGCCACAGAACAAACACAACCATGAAGTGCCCCGCGATGTTTCCCGTTGCATCCTGTTCGGACAGTTTAGAAAATGTCTTCCCTGAGGACCATAAAGATGCCAAACTGTGACGGGGGAGGGCAGGCTGGGGGTCGGAGGTGGGGCGTGTCCCCCAGTCAACCCGAACTACAGCCCTCTGCTGGGAGTCCTAGGCCATCTGCTCTGGCCACATTCTTACAGAGAAGATGGTGTCACCTCTGCAACACTGCTAGGAGGCCAATCTTCCTGGCTATCTCCACTTATAGGCCCTGAGACCTTGGGCAGATGACGTCCTGTCTGCCTATGAACGGGAGGCAGTAATCAACCCAGAATAAGCACACAGCATCTGCTGTGAGGACCAGAGAGGTTTTTTTTTTTTTTTTTGGGGGGGTGGGGGGGTGGGAGGAGGGTATTCAGGATCGAACCCTGGGGCACTGAACCACTGAGCCATATCCCCAGCCCTTTCTATATTTTTATTTAGAGACAGGGTCTTGCTAAATTGCTTAGGGCCTCATTAAATTCCTGAGGCTGGCTTTGAACTTGCAATCTTTCCGCCTCGGCCTCCAGAGCGCTGAGATCCCAGGCCAGCGGCACCATGCCCTGCGGGACCAGAGGGTGGCCACTCAGGAGGCACACAGGAGTGTCTCGGCACCTGGTGGGTATTCCAAAGATCACCTACTATTACTTTACAAATGAGGCAACTGTAGCCTGAGACCCGAGGTACTGGCCCAGTGGCAGAGTTCAGGCAAGACCCCAGGACTTTCTGTAATCTCTGAACCTCATCCAGAGGTGGTCCATGCTTGTCCCTAACACTGGCCAGTTTTGAGATGCCTGTATTTAGAAAGCAAACAAAGGCAAAAATGGGCTCCGGGACTGACTGGATTTTTCTAGCCCTTGGTTCACGAACCCTTGCCGGAAGTCCCTCAGTGAGAAAATGATAAGAGACCCAACTCAGTGCTGCCCTACCTCACAGACTCCGGCCCTGTCTACTGGGAGGCTCAGCTCCCAGCCACCAGGCAGTGCTTGGCCCGCTCAAAGAGCCACCACAGTCAGACCTCTGCAGCCAGCGTCAACAAGGGACCAGGCCCACCTCTTGCCCCAGACACCACCAAGATCACCCCCAGCGCAACCTGAACCAGAGCCAGGATTGTAAACAGTGACAAGGGAACAGCATGTGCTCCCTGGGTCCTTGTTTACACGCCTAGGGTCTCCTGGATACACCTGACACCTCAGCCGAGCTGGCTTAGCCGCTCTGCACCAAGAGGCCGAGGAAGGCTGCCTTCGGAGAGGAGGTGGGAACCCAGCGCACGTTCCTGAGAGCCAAGGGCAGGTCCGGGGTGGAACCTGCCTTTCCCACAGTGACCAACAAGAGTTCACAAGACTGGCCTGCTAAACGCCTGTCCCAGGTCTCGACAACCAACTGCCCTCTTGCTTCACAAGACTGCGGGAACGGTGACCACAGGCAACCACTGCGGCGGGATTCCTAACAATGGCCTGGGCTTCCCTCTGCCACCTGCTCCCCGCCGCTCTGCCTTCAAGGAGCCAGCTCTGCTTGGTGGCCTCAGTCCCAGTGCACCAGGAGCGAGCCTCCCCACCCATGCTCCCAGAGATGAGACTGGCCTAAAGGTGACACCTCAAAGCTGTGGGAGTGGGCATGTGCGAAGCTGCGTGGGCAAAGGACAGGGCTGACAGACACCTGGAGTGAACTCCCATCCCTTCACGCTAGAGACCGAGCCAAGGGGCTATACCACCGAGTCCTCCCCGAACAGGGTCAGGTTAAGTTGCCCAGTCTGGCCGTGAACCTGTGATCCTCCTGCCTCAGCCTTCTTAGTTGCTGGGGTTATAGGCATGTGCCACCACAACTGGCCAGTATTCTACATTTTTATTTGCTAAATCCAGCCGTCATGGGCATGGTGGTGCACACCTATAATCCCAGCAACTCAAGAGGCTGAGTCAGGAGGATGATGAGTTCAAAGCCAGCCTCAGCAACTTAGTGAGGCCCTAAGCAACTCAGTGAGACTCTAATAAAATACAAAAAAGGGCTGGGGTGTGGCTCAGTGGTTCAGTGCTCCTGGGTTCAAATCTCTGTACCAAATCAATCAAGCAACCATAATTAAACGAGGAATCCCCCAAATCAACAGCTTTCCTCAGACTGTGGCTTCCCTGGCTTATTTATTTATTTATTTTTGGTACTGGATGAACCCAGGGTGCTTTACCACTAAGCTACACCCCTGGCTCTTTTATTTCTTTAATATTTTATTTTTAGTTGTAGTTGGACACCACACCTTTATTATTATTTTTTTTAATTTTTATGTGGTGTTTGAGGATCGAACCCAGGGCCTTGCGCGTGCTAGACGAGTGTTCTACTGCTGAGTCACAACCGCAGCCCCTTTTTAATTTATTTTCTAATCTTGAGATCTTCTCGTCTCAGCCTCTCGAGTGACTGGAATTACAGGCATGTGCCACAACCCCTGGCTCCCAGCATAGCTATGTTCCTTCTCTGGTCACTCGTCTGTTCCAAGGCCAAGTGCACACACGTAACGTGGACACTCACCTGTGTTGTAGGCGGTGGGCATGGAAGAGAAGGGGAGGCCCTGGCTGAGCAAACTTGGTGTTGCCACGGAGACCACTGGGGTGGTGAGCGAGTGGGTAGACTGGGAGACCCCGAGGCGCTGGGCATTGTTCTGCAGGAGAAAATGTCTGTCAGGAGGTGCCAGACGGGTGGGCTGCCTTAGGCTGACTTTGGAGGCCAAGATCAAGGTGGGGCCTCAGCATGGAGGACCCAGAGGTACCCCAACACGAGTTGGTGCAATCACAGAGACACTGAGACCCCTGGAGAAAAACATGCACAACTGGCTTCACTCTCACCCACACATGCAAAGAGGAAGAGGATGCCCCAACACTGGCCCTGTGGCCGCGACCCCAACACCGGCCCAGGCTCCTAGGGCAGAGTGACAGGAATAGTGAGACAAAAGCCATCGCACTACAGCACCGGCCCTGGGGAGGCGCGTCGGCATCTGGGAGGGGACGCGCGGCCTGGTGTGGCGTGTGCCTGCGTGTACCACACACGTGTGGGGCTGTCTGCCGTCTGCCGCTGAGTCACTTGTTTATTCCAACTCCACACTGGGGCCGGAACTGCCGCTGTGCTGGCCGCCAGAGCCTGCCTGCCTGCCTTTTCCAGTCTCTGGCCTCCCGTCAGGGAGCTGGGAGGAGGAGCCCCTGTCCCACTCCTGGCCATGGGCGAGCATGCAAGTGTGTAAGAGAGTGGCCGTGCATGTCTGTGTCCAGCCCACTAGGCTTCAGCTTCCCCTAGAAAACCGATGTCACTGTCCACTGGCATCCCCCACAGGGTCCCTGTCTTGGGTTCCAAGAATGCTGTGTGAACCACGCAGAGTAGAGGGCTAGGGGGATCCTAGGGCCTAACCAGGCTTCGGGGTTGAGGCCTCTGGGGCCTGAGGGTGGCCTCACTCCACTGTGTAGAGACACGCGTGTGTACGTGTCGTCTGATGCAGCACCACACCTGCATACACACGCACAGGTCCACCCACATGCACGACTGCCCCTCACCCCACCCCGCTCGCCTCAGTTGCCAGATGTGCACTAAGCACGGCAAAAACCACACCCACACCACACACTGAACACCCAGGGAAAGGACAAGACACGGGCGCTCCATGCTGGGACCCAGAGGAGTGGGCTGACCCAGAATTCAAAGCACCACAAAAGTCTCATGGCCTCACTTACCAGATCTAAATGGTCCTCAGTCTGGGAGCAGAAATAAAACCAAAGGGACGGTTCAGTCTCTGGTCTCTCCCCTCCCCCACACCACCCACCCACCTCCCTGCCTAACAGCAGGCACTGGCCAGCCCTGGAGGACAGAGCTCTGTGCCAGCCTCCACCAGCTCGGACACCCCTCACCATCTAGTCGGCAACCTCCTGCTACACATGAGACCCTTTCCCCATCACAGAACCTTCTCTCCCAGCCCCCGTCCTTTCTACTGCCTATTTACCCTGGCACCTCTATGCTCCAACCTCTTAAATAATCCTCAGGGAAGACAGAGCTCATAAAAAGCCATGCATACATGATCTCTCTTGGAAAGTCCTACCTCCTGGCCAACCTTTATCTCTCCTGCTTCAGCTCCGCTCTCTCCCTCCTCCCAGCCTCCCACTTCCAGCCCAAGGCCCAGACACCCACTTACCAAGTGATGCATTAACCCCTTTCCTCCCTGGGAAGTGATGACCCGCAGGTCAGGCTTGCGGCTGGGGGCTCCAAGCTGGGCGCTATGGGTGGGCGGCGGTGGAGACTTGGCAGGGATGACCTTGTTTAGGCTATTGCCATTGGCCACAGGGAGGAGGCCAGGGGAAGCCCGAGCACTGACATAGCCGTTCCCTGGAGGAGTGAGGAGGGTTAGGGTGAAGGGCGGGCAGGCCGGCCCCGTGGTCCTCTCTTCCCCGCGCCAGGACCCCTTCTGCCAGGACCCCTTCCGCCAGGACCCCCCCAGCCATGCCAAGCTGCCTGCGTCCCCACCACTTTCCCAGAACAAGAAGAGGACATCTTGCTCCTCAATCACTGGGTTCCCTTCCTGCCTCCAGGCCACATGTGACAGGGCTGGGGTGGGGGCACCAAGGACACGCCAGGAAAGCGACCACTGCTACTGCCCTGCGACAGCAGAGACCCCACAGCTCAGCCTCTCCCTGCGGCTCTCTCCTGTCATCTCCAAAGGCTCCCCAACCTGCCCCCACAGGACCCACGGGGCTGGGGGACAGGTGGCGACGCGGGATCCAGGCCTCTGCGGAGCCTGGTCACCAGGGCTAACCACCAACCATTTGGGCTGCTCTCTGCTGTGTGCTGGGGACTCTGAGACTTGGACTGGTAAAGGATAAGCTGCCCATGCCTTGCGGGAAACAGGCCATTCACGGGCGGTGACGGTGTTGCTGGCCCTGAGGGACTGATGGCATAGCACCACCACAGTTAGAGTGGTAACTACCCTTCACGTTTGCTCCCCTCCACAACGGGCATGCTATCTCATTTAATCCTCACGTTAACCCTGAAAGATAGGTGGTCCTGAGCACGGGAGAGAGGGCTGTGTCTAATGGCTTGTGGGGCCACAAAGTTGGCGGGAGGCCAAGCAGGGTTTTCACCTGCTTCCCACACAATGGACCCCAGGGACAGTGGGTACCCCTCAAAGTCTGTGGGAACTTCTCTGGTCCTCTCCTTGGACAGGGAGGGGTACTGACCCAGCTTCCTGACCCCATACGTGATTATTGCCAGGAGGGAGCCGACGCCAAGCTCAGGGACTCTGGGGTTCAGGGATGTACCAGTGACTGCAGGCAGAAATGCCACCTTGCTCTGTCCCCTAAGAGCATGCTGTTGCCCTCAAAGTGTACTGCTGCCTCCGTCCCAATTCCCGGATCACTCTGAGAATGGCAGGAATGTCAGGGTGACGTCAATGGTGACATTAGAAGTCACAGTCACCCAGCTGGACAAAGACACAAGACAGGAGGGCCTATGGGCTGCTGGGGGTGGGACAGCCTTTCCTCTGTGGCTACAAGTACATCTAACATGCGGACCCTGTGTGACCGGGCACACACGTGTGCAAGTCTCTGCCTGCTGCTCCTCCAAGCACGGCCAGGCCACCCCGTCCTCAGGTCCCAATCAGACACCTGTAGTCAACAGGAAAGACCTGGATTTTCTGCTCCAACTAGAAACGCTGGTTCTCACAGCCTGCCCGCACTCCCTGGCTCTGCGTCTGCTGGCCGTCCACCCCACTGCCGCAGACAACAAAATCCAGCAGCAGAAACATCCTCCCGCTCTCGTCCCCTTCAGGGACTCCACCATCCTGTGATGTTCCTCCCCTAATCTAGGTCCCTCCTGGCCACTGAGCAAGCATCAGGCCTCCTGGTGCCAAACAGGGCAGTGGTACTCACCCACGGGGCTGGGGCAGGCTCCGTTAGCAGTGCTGAGGTCTCCCCCGAGCATGGCCCCTGGGGAATGAAGCAGAACCAGGGTGAGCTGGCAGCACTCCCCAGGCAGGGGGGTCCGGGGACTGACCAAAGGGGGCTGTTGAGGAGTGCTGGACCCTGGGCCCGTCCCTCAGGGGCCACACAAACACCGGGATGCTGTGGTAGGTACAGGGCAGGCCCACTTTTGAAACTGGGATCCCAGAGTCCCCTGTGCAGCTCATTCGCACCTCCTCCTGCCCCCACCCGTCTGCTCACCTGCACTGGCGGGCCGCTGAGGCAGGCCTGGAGACACGCTGTTCCTCTGTAGTGCTGGCTGCTGGGGGGACAAGAGCCGCGGGTCTGTGAGGGACGACGTCACCAGGGAAGGGGTGACCAGGGAGCCGCTGGGGTTGCTGAACTGCAGTGAGCTCTGATTGGACACGGGCACCGTGACAGGCATGGCAAAGTTGGGGGCCGGGACAGCTGACTAGACAGAAAAAGGAGGGGCAGGGTCAGACCAGGTCAGCACCTTTCCCCAGACCCACTCCGCCTGGGAGGACAGGCAAGGGTCTCCTGAGCTCTGGGCTGTGCACCCTTGGGTCAGAGACTCCAGCTCTCTGCCCCCGGCCGTCCTGAGGTCCTGCCTGCCACTCCTACTAAGGCAGATGGTGGTGGGAGTGCTCTGAGATCCAGCTCTGGCCCAGAGAATGAAACTACGGTTCTGTTCCCTGCAGATGGACCAGGGACACCCCTAGTGGAGGCAGGTTAGTCCTCAGCCAGGCAGATCACACGGGAGGAGGTTAGCCGCCCTGGGTACAGACCCAGGTTCACACACGCAGCCCTTCCAGGCCTGGGCCACGGTCCCAACCTGCTTCTCCTGCAGTCACTCACCACCCAGCCTGCTGCAGAGGGGTCTACCCTCTCAGCGCCTGCCCCTTTAGCACTTCTGCTGCCCTAAACACTGCTGAGTGCCTTGGGTGGGGGCCGCGGAGCAGCCCCAGGGTGTTCATCCCAAGACGACTGGACAACAAGCCCCCTGCACTGTCCTGTCCCTCAAGGACCTCGTGTCATCTACACGTTTCTTGCTGGCAAGGGGGACGCTCCATGCCTCTCTGGCTCATGCTCCATCTGAGATGAGTCTCAGCACAGGTCACGGGGTTATCCTGACCAAGGTCGCAGGGTCCTCAGTGGTCACCGCTATCCCCAGCATGGCTCAGAGCAGAACACCCAGAGGCAGCCGAGGGCCGCGCGAAGCCACACCATGCACCACAGGGAGGCCCTCCATGCGACTACTCACGGCCAGTCTATAACTCTGCATCATTTTATCAAACTCCTCGTCTATCTTTTTATACTTCTCCTCCGTCTGGGGGGTCAGGGCAAACACCTCGTCCACCTCAGGGCTTTCACACTCCCTGTGCTTCTTGTGCAGCGCCTGGGGGGAAGGGGCCGGAGGGGGGGCCGACAGAGAGAGAGTGAGTGCAGCTCACCCCGTAGCGCCGGAAGAGCCCGTCCAGCTCCTCGCTGGCGCGCCGGTACTTGTCCTCCAGCAGGGGGCTCTGTTCCAGCGAGTCCTCCCCGTCGGGCTCTGGGCTGTCGCAGCCGTTGAAGCCCTTCTTCCTCAGGGTCTGTAACCGCACCACTAGGTCAGCGGGTGAGGGTCCTCCGGGCCTCCCTAGGAGCCTTCAGGCCCCCCAAGATCCCTGCTCACCCAGCCTCCTTCCTCAGGGTGCCCAGCGCCACCCAGGCCCCCGCCTCCCCGTGCCTCCACCCCATGGCATCCCTCCACCCCGTGCCCCCAGGCCCATGTGAAGACCTACAGCAGGGGGCGGCTGCAGAGCACAGGGACCACGTGGGAGCGCCTGACCCGGGGAGTGCGTGTGGCCAGCACTGTGCTTCCAGAGCCCCACGTGGGCAGACTCAGGGGAGATGGCTGAGGGGCTAGTGGCCTGGGTCAGCCCTGTCTGGTGAGGCCTGGCCAGAGGGCACTGAGAGCTTCCTAGGGGAAGGTGAAGTCAGGGGACCCTGCCCATCCCAACCCAGGCTCTGCTCAGAAGAGAGGAGAGAGAATTTAGGCAGGGACAGAGAGGGAGAAAGCGAGACTCAGGAGAGCCAAGAGGGGACAGCAGGCCCAGGAACTGGATCACCACAGCGACCTGAGCAAAGAGGAAGCACTTGCCGTGACCCAAGGCTGCCCTCTCCGTGCTCAAAATGCCTCTGTGGACACTTGCCTTGTTTCTAAAGTGAATGTAAAGTTCATGTTCTAGTCTGAAATCTGTCTTCTCTAATGTAAAAAAAGAGAATTCCCCCCAATCTCTGAATCTGAAGGAATTTGAGGCCTACAGCTTCCTGGGCGCCCTCCTCTTCAGCCCAAGTCTGCACCCCACGGTGCATACCCAGTGTGAGACCCGGAGCTGGGCTGCTTCGTGCCGTCCACACAGCACCCTCCAAAGCAGGCTCTGGCCCCATTTTGTGGAGGGGGACACCATGGTTCAGGGAGGCCAAGCCACCTGCCTGAGGCCACATGGCCAAGAAAGGGCAAAGCTGAGTTTGAAAGCTTGTATCCTCCAACGGTTCACAAGGTCAGCTCTCTTTGAAACAGAAAAAGAACCACAGGGGCCCACTAAGGGACAGTGACAGAGAAGGAAAGAAACAAAGGGGAGACAAAAATTAATAAATGAGTAAGGGAGTCAGATGCAGGAACCGACCACAAGATGGAGAAAAGGGACAGGGACAGAAAGAGAGCACAAGAGAAGGCAGCAGAGAGAAGTCCTGTCGTGCTGGCCGCAGGAAGGGACTCCTGGGAGCGCGGTGGGCAGCACACCTGACAGCCCGGGCCCAGGCGCTGGCCATCCACCTGGACTGCCCCTCCTCCTTCCCGGGGCCGGGTTTGTGTGACAGGATGTGGGTTAACGCGTGTGTGCAGACTGAGGGGCTCTGGGGCGGCACCGCGCGTGTGCGCGAGGACACAGGCTGCGGGCGGTGCCCGCCACAGGCCCACCTCGATGATGTCGGCGTTGGTGCGGCTCTCGTGCGGCTCGTTGTACTCGGTGTACTTGAGCAGCACCTTGTCCATGTCGGTGCTGGCGTACTGGAACAGCTTGTTGGAGTGGTTGAAGATGATGAGGGCGATCTCGCAGTCGCACAGGACGCTCAGCTCGTACGCCTTCTTCATCAGCCCGAACTTCCGCTTGGTGAACGTCACCTGGAGGAGAGCAGCTGGTGTCCAGGGCTGGCTCAGTCCAGGAACCCCTGCCTATGAGCTGGACACAGCCACTGCCCTCAGAGCTCCCATTTTCAGGAAGACACAGGAGTTCCTAGTCTGAGGAAGACAGCATGTGGCCAAGATGGAGTCGCAGCCTCGGTACCACAGGGGAGAGGGTTAGACGGCCAGGCCTCTACCCCTCTGTGCTAGGGACTAGGGAGAGGTCACAAGGAAAAGCAGAGGGCTCCTAGGATAAGAGGAGGGAAAGGATTCATTCTGGGGTTTGGAAGTGTCCAGGTGTGGCCTGAAGCCTGCATATGGCGCCCGGGTGGGGACACAGGTCCATCTGGTTAAAGCAGAGCCTGCCCTCCTGGGGCACAAGGTTCCCACAGCTGCAGGGAGGTGGGGGCTGCTCTTCTCCTGACTCAGCCCACCCCTCTGTCCGAGCTCTTCCTCTCCCAGAAGCCCCCCATCAAAGATCGGGGAGGACGTGGAGCGGGGGCCAGCTCCCGGTCCTCGCCTACTCTGGGGCTCCAGGACTTCCTCACCTGCCGGTTCCGCTCATCAGTGATTCGCTGAATCTGAATCTTTTTCCTCCCCATCTTCTCTGGAGGTCCTCAGTGCTAGGGAGGGAGAGGCTGCTGGGTGGCGGGTCTCGGCACCCCTCACACTGTGCTCATGAACGTCTGGGACCAGCTCAGTTCATGGTCTGCAGGACACCTTCTGCACAGCCTCCTGGGAGGAGAGTCACAAGAGCACTGTCAGGCCCCAACGCTCAGCCATGCGCTCCTTGAGGACATGAGCCAGGCTTACAGCACCCCTGCAAGAGGCTGGCATCGTCTCCTCCCCATCCTCAAAATGAGGCCATGCTGGCTACCTGTGGCAATGGTCTGCCAGACCAGGCACAGGCTGGGACTCACACCGGGCCCAGGACTCTGGTCCAGGCTCTTCTGCATGGTCATGTTGCCTGAGGCTCTCGGTCAGGCAGAGGACATGGAGCGTGTAGCTGCTCAGGGTCTGGATCTTAGAGAACACCAGTATCTCCCTCTGCTTTCCAGAGCCTGCCTTGCTCCCCAGTGACCCCCTGGCCCAGAAGAGCAGTTCACCTTCTGGAGTCTTGAGAGGGGACACTTGCCCAGGCCAGCAAGCATGGTGTGCCTCATGCCAGGATGGGATGTCTCTGGTACCCCTGGTTCAAGAACATACTAGAACAGGTCTACAGCAGTGTTCCTACACCAGCTCATGGAACCCCAAGTCCTGGGGTCCCACCACCACCTGCCTTCAGCCAGAACGCCCCCACGACAGTCGGATTTATTCAGCAGACCTGCGCCTAAAACCTTTGTTTGGAGAAAGGGTTTTGCTGCTTAAACCCACCAACCACTACTCCTCATAAGAGATCAGCAGAAAAAGAAATTTAAAAAGCAACTCAGTGAGACCCCGTCTCTCAATCAAATAAAAAACAGGGCTGGGGATGTGGCTCAGTGGTTGAGTGCCCCTGAGTTCAATCCCTGGTACCCCCCCAAAATCTGTTTTGGCAGTGCTGGGGGTGAAACCCAGGCTTTAGGCCTCCTAGGCAAGTGTTCTTGCCCCCGGCCAAGACCCCAGTGAATCTTTTCTATGAAGGGTCAAACATCTCGGCTTTGCAGGCCACACAATGTGTCTAGAACAACTCCCACTCTGCCTGCCGCGTAAGCACCTGAGGGAACGCTGAAGCAGGTGGGGGTGAGCAACAAAACTGCACGAGAGAAGGGAAGACCCGAGTTCCGCAGGCCCTGGTCTCTGCTGTGCGCCGCCCACAGCCCTGAGTGGCCCAGCAGACACCGGCCCCGGCGCCCCACTCCTCACTAACTCCCACTGCCGGGACTCCAGCCCCAGGACTCCGGCGCCCCTGCTTCTCGACGGGACCCGGTAAATCTGTGCTTTCTAGGCCGTGGTGGAGTGGGCTTCAGGGAAGGGGAGGGCAGCAAGGCCCAGGGTTCCTGGCCCAGCCTGGCAAGGGCAGGACGTTCCCAGTCCTCCTGCACCCACCTTCCTTCTCTCCTGCCCTCCGGTCTCCCTCTGACCACCCTGTGTTCATGAGCAGGCGCTGGCTGAGATGTAACCTCTGGCAGACTATGGCCAGTTCTGTCCCCTCCTCCACAGTGGGAGAACCCTCTTTGTTCTCATGATCCTCCAAAAAGCCACTCATGCAGTATCTCTAGCACTCACCACGATGTCAATGTTACACTCTGTGCTTCTGATTCATGCCTGGCTTCCCTGAGACTGAAGCTTCCTGAGGGCAGGAACTACATCTGTCCTTTTCATTACTCTAGACCCTGTAAGGAGCTCAGGAAACACCTACAAAAAGACAAGACTGTCTCATCGTCATGGCCCTTTGAGAAGTCCTTCTTGCAGTCTAACCTCCATTAGTCCTGCTGCAAGTCGAGCTCCTCTCACTCTGTGCAGCTAGAACTTGTCCCTCTCCTGACTGCCCTTGAAGCTCGTTTGTTTGGACACCACTCACCCTCCAAATACCCCCCTGCCACCTCAGTCCTCCACTCTCCCCACCCTTGGGTTGGCTGGTGCAGCGGGTGAGACTCTAAAGTCTTCTAAGGAGCAGCCCTGAGCACATGGAGATGGAGAGGATGGGGTTGCTCAGGCAACTGTTGCCTGGCAACCAGCTCCCTGGCTGATCTCCTACACCCCCCCACCCCCGCCTCATGCTGGGGGAGCTGGGATGCGAGAGGGATCAGGACTGAAAAGGCAGAGAAGCCACAGAGACCCAAGGAGCATCCTCTGACAGAGGGAAGTCAGGGTTCAACAAGACTAGGCCCCATCTAGCCCACTCCCTCCAAGGCAGCTCAGAGCACTTTTTATAATTCCACACATCCCACGGCCCTTTCCCCACTGCTGCTCCCCCTCTGTGCCAACACTGCCAGAGGAGAAGATGTCCCTGCCTTGGGCAGTCCTTCCTCCTATCTAACCACAAGGCCTCCTACAAAGCAGGCTCAGTCTGTACTAACCTCGTTCCCCTTCACTGCAGGTTCTCTGAAAGCCCTAGGGCAAGAACATGAACTCAACCATGACTTTCAAAGAGGGTGGCTGCGGCCTACAGGAGCTCAAAGGACCCTAAACTGACCCCAGCCAAGGTGTGGAGGCCTAGCCTGCCCAAGCTTCCCTCCTACCCCATTAGGAAGATTTTAATGAACACCTGGACCTCCTTAATTAGCCCTCTGCCTAATTACCTAACCAACTGCCAGCAGCCAGAGGCCCGGGCATCTGTCCCCCAGATGTGAGCTCTCCTCCCGGCCTGGGCTGGCCCACTCCTCTTCCCCTCCAGGAAGCCATGGCCCCTGGCTGCCCTGCTCTCACCCTTTCTCCTTCACTCTGAGCAGCCCTGGCCTTGGGAGGCCAGGTCGGGCAGGGTGGCCTTCCTGCTGAGGCCCAGGGCCTGCTCCATTCTGACCTCAGGCCACAGCTGTGACTCCTTTGGCTGGCCCATCCTTGTCAGAGAAGTGCCCCTTCAAGGCTCTGGCGGCCTGATTCTGACTCACCAACTCGATGGACAGGGCAGGGCAGGGCAGGGCAGGGCTGGCAGGGTGGACCTCCTGGGTGGGGTGGCCCTTCCTGATGGAGATGGAGGAGGAACACAGGGGACAGGGCTGTGGGGCTGGCCCCGGATCTGGGAGGGAAGGACAGCTACAGAGGGGCCCCACACACAGAGAGGAGGTGGTGAGGCAGGAGCCCAACGGACAAGGCGGGCAGTTGAAGGGACCCGAGAGCAGCGGGGACCCCACAGACAGCAGCCATTTTCCCAAGCTGGGCTAAAGACCCAATAGGAACTGTGGTTATGTTTATATGCAAATGAGGGACACTGCAAGGTACAGTGCCTGGTCTGGAGGGGACATGGAGAAGCAGCAGGCCCTGCCTCCCAGTGACACCTCTTGGTACCTGAGCAATATTCAAACCATTCTCGGGTTTCGGAATGATGCTATCTCGGTTCCTGTGTGAGGTGGCCGGGCCAGCCGGGCAGCGGTCAGGCAGCCCCCCTCAGAGCTGCAGCTGAGCAGGGCTGTCCTCAGGGAGGGCCCGAGGGCTCCTTTCCCACGGCCACCTTCCTCCTTCCTGGCTGTCAGGGGAGTGCCTCCCTCTCTTCTCCCTGGACGTCCATCCCAGCTGGCCCTCTGTCCCGGGGGCTCAGAGGACCTGGGGGTGCAGGCCCAGTGCAGCACACGCCAGAGAGGCTGGGCAGCGCCCCTTCACAGAGCCCCGGGCCTCAACCTGCGCTCATTAGGCGGCCTGTCCCTCCCTCGCAGGCTGCTTGAGGCTGGGAACGAGCTGGAGGGGCAGGCAGGAGGCGGGAGACAGCTGTCACCCCTCCGCCCGCCCCTTCCCTGTGGCTGGGCTGCAGGGCATGAAATAAGCAGCAGGGCTGGGGGAGGGGTGACAACCCCATCCACCTGTCACCCCCCAGTCAGGCGGCCTCCAGCAGCCTGCTCACTAACTAGGGAGGAGCGTGGGTGAGGCGGGGGTGCAGAGGGGGACAGACGCGCAGACACAGGAAAGGAGCCTGAGCAGCAGCAGCAGCAGGCCCGGAGGCAGAGTGGGCCGCGGTGGAGGGCTGGCCAGGGCCGGCCAGGGAGCAGGGGCGGGCGCAGAGCTCCGGAGTGGGAGGAGTCAGGCCAAGCACTGCCACGGCTCAGACTCTGGTCCCTGGGCACCAGGCAGCGGGCACCCTCCCTGCCCTCTGAGAACTTGCAGTCCCGCCAAGAGGTAGACCAGGGCGGGGCGGGGCGCCTGGGCAAGGGAAAGCAGAGGCCAGGGGCCCTGGGGCCCTGGCTGGGGCCCAGACGCAGCCCGGGGAAGGACTATCTGCGCTCTGCCCATCTCCCAAGGGCAGACGGGTCCTGAGGAGGCACAGGGAGCACCCAGGCCCAGCTGTCCAACTCCAGCCCCCAGGGAGCGACCCCAGGCTCAAGCCCTGGAAGCCATTCCCGCTGGCCTCCCCTGAGCCTGCGCTCCCTGGGTGCCGGCGCAGGGGGGGCCTGACTCCCCCGCCCAGGCCAGAGGCTGGGGCATCTTCCCGTGGTGCACTAAGGAAGGGGGGCACCGTCCCTGGGAAGCCTGAGGGAGGCAGAGCCCGAGGTCCGACTGCCCCCCCCCCCACCCCATACAGCCGATTCTCACGCCCCCGCACAGCCTGCCCCCCACCCCCGCTCCCGGCCCTCCCTCCGCTCCTTCTCTCCCCCCAGTTTTTCTAGGATCGCAGCCCAGGGCAGGCCCCAGCCCCACCCATAAACTTGGGTCAGACAGGCTTCCACCCAAAGACCTGGTTCCCACCATCTTCCCTTCCCTCAGGGACGCCCTCCCCCGCCCAGCAGCCTCAGGGCTGGGCAGGGGCTATTTTTAGCCTGGGCACTGAGCTAATTTTAACTCACCGGCTGGGGACCTGGGGGCGGGCTGAAAAAGGGCCGTCCAAGAAAGCTGGGCCTGGGGCAGGGGAGTCTCGGGTCCCAGGCACCTGCGCCTTGGCGCTAGGGACAGGAACTGACCTGAGGAGCGCAGGGTGGGGAGCGAGGGCAGCCCTCCCGCAGCTTCCACTGGACAACTCTCCATGCTCCACCCCAGGCTTCCCACCCTCTCCTCCCCGGAAAACCTCCTGGGATGGGGTCATCCTGTTCTCTGCCCAGGAGATGCCTCTCCACTGAGGGTCTGTCTCCCGAGCCTCCTCCACTGCTTCCCCACCCCAGCTTGTCCTTCCTGTAGTCTAGCTCTCATCCTTCCTGTGCTGCAGGGGGCTGTGCGGCTCCCTATGGAGGCAGCAGCTCCAGCACCTCCCATCCTAGCTCTGACCTCCCCTGGGGACCTCTGGGCTGGTTCCCATCTATTCCTCCCCCCACCCCCACCCCAGAAAGTTCCTAGAGAACCCCAGACTGACCTCAGGAAGTATTTGGGGGCAACAGGAGATGGAGTCCTGAGGTGGGGTGATGAACAGTCCAGGGAAACGTGGGGACTCTGGGCTGGGCTTTTAGTCCCTGCTCTGGCGCCAACTCACCCTGTGACCTTGAGCCAGTGAATGGGCTGCACCCTACTGACCAGGAGCCTGGGCAGGTAGAGTGCATGAGGCATGTTCCGTTCCAGGCCAGACATACTGTCCCTGTGCTCTTTGGAGAGGCCCAAGAGGAAGGGGGAGTCAGGACTGTGTGCATTTACAGAGGAACAGCCCAAGAGGTGACACAGTAGGTCCTCCAGCTGGGGGGGGGGCAATCTGGAGGCCGGGAAGACATGTTCTAAAGGGGAGCCCCTCCACCAGCTGCAAAGCACCACAAAGGCTCACAGTGGGCCAAGGCAAGTACCAGGTGGGACACACAGGCCACCACAGTCCCCTCACACATCTGAACCACCAATCAGACCCAGAGCTTAGGGCCTCCCAGGGTCACTGTCGTGGTCTGGCCCAAGGTCACTGTCAAACACTGGTGGGGCTGGTTCTGAAACTCGAGGTGCTCCTTGGGCCCCACCCAGCAGGCCTCGGCCTGACTCACTGGCGCTCATTTGCATGGGATTTGCATAGTGCCTCTGACCTCATTCCTTCAGATCCCACTTCCCACCCCAGGACTCCCACCCCACCCAGACCCCAAGGCACCCGGAGACCCCAGCCCCGTGTCCCAGGCCCCCAAGCCCCCGGGTCCCCCCCCCCCCCCCCCCAAAGCACTGCTGAATGTAAACACCCCCGGCAACAGTGGACAGCTTTGGTCCAGCTGGGTCCCCTCCGTCCAGGTCCAGGCAGGGATGGGGTGAGGTCAGGAGGAAGGGGGATCTGCCGAGGCTCCCAGGATGAGGTCCAGCGGCTGCCCACTGCCCTGCTGCCCGGGCCCCAGTCCCCTCGGGGCCATGGCTGGGCATGAGTGGCAAGGCAGGGAGCTGTCCTCTACTCCTGTCTCCATGCCCATTTCTAGGACCCACTCCAGAGTGCAGAATGAAGGATGTGGCCAGGGACAGAAAGACAGACCCAGACTACAAAGGGGACCTCTGAGGGCTCAGTCCCTAGATTTAAAGTAGTCTTGGGGCTCAAAACTGCTTGTCAGAAGGTACCCAATCCAGCATGGGCAGCTGGTGACATTTGGGAGGGCAAGGAGGCCCCAGCATTGAACTCCTACCAATGAGAGTTGGCAGACAACCAGTCCCCTACCTACCTTGAAGTCCAACCTCCATCTGTCCAGTTACAGTATCTACACTTCTAGCCATACTCTCAGAAACAAGGAAGCCCAGCAGAGGTCTCCTAGCCTGGGAAGTCCTTCCTGCTATCTAACCACCATCCTTCCCACAGTAGCCAACCTTTCCACTGCAACCCAAGCCCATTTCAGTCATCTAAACAAGAGTGGTGGACAGGGGCCCCTGGCCATCAGAAGCCTCAGTTGAGGAGAGGTGGGGGCGGTTGGGACGGTTAGTGTGTCACCTTCCACCTCCCCACCCTACTTCCCCCTGGGGTCTTAAGAGACAGAAGTGAAAGTGGCAGCTGGGGCTTTGGGGGCAGGTCAGCTTGAGAGCCGTTGGGATGAGCATAAGGCCACCAGTGCTGGGTTTGGGCTGCCTACCACTGAAGTGGGTAGACTGCTAGTTGGACAAGGGGAGGAACTTCCCATGAAAATGAGAGCAGGGAGTAATGATGATCCCTGGCCAAAGGAATAAGTGGAGAGAAGCAGGCAGCAGTTCCAGAAAGCCACTGTCAGGACGGCGCTCGGTCCCCTTATTTAAAACAGCAAGACCCTCTCTTCTCATCCACAGGACAGAGGCGGGGCTGCTCTGCTGAGGCACAGGAGAGCCGGGCCCTGGCCAGGGGCCCTCAATCTGGACACCACGGGTGCTGGGGGAAAGGGAGGTGGAGGGTCAGAATGTGACACCCACACCTCCGACAAGGGACAGGGGACCGGGACGAAAGAGGCCAATCCAATCAGGGAGAGCAAATCCTCCTAGAGACATCATGACCTCGAGAAGCCACCAAGGATTTAAAGGGGCCGCCTGGGGCAGTGGCTGGGTCTCCTTCTCACTGGAGGACAGTCCTTGAAGCCCCTGGCAGGGAGGGAGGGTGGCCACCAGGCAGCTCCTACAGGATTAGCTCGCTGCTCTCAGGAAAGTGTCAGGTGAGGCTGAGATGCGCAGCCAGACAGAGGGGCCTCGCAGGCAAGGGGTGGGGAGCAGGACCTGCGCAAGGCTAGGCAGACCCATGTCCCCAGACCTGGCGTCTCACCCTTTCACAAGGACACTGTGCAAAGTCCCATGGAACTTCTCCAGTAAGGACCTCTGCCTACCACGCTCTCCCTGCCATTTCTACCATCTGGAGCTAGCCTTGCTCTGAGGGGGAAGTCCTGCCTGTTGTCTACTCTCAATCTCTCTGCTAGGCTTTACAACTAGGGCCCCACCCCCGGGAACAGGTGAAGGGTTCCTCTCTCCCCTGCCCTCAGCTCCCCACCCTCGGCTGACAGGTGGGAGAGACAAGAGGGAGCAGCTGGGCCAGGAGGCCTGTCCCCACCCAGCCAGCCTGGGCCCCGGGCCTGCCACACAAGGGGTCGAGTGGAGGAGTCAGCACAGATCAGGGTTGTGGGCAGGAGGGGGCGCAGAGGTCAGGGAGAAGGGTGCAGGAGAGGGCTGAAGCACAGCCTTGCCGTGGGCCCAGGCCTGGCCCTCCCCTGGCCCAACACGACAGCGCACCTGCCCTACAGGGAGGGCTGGAAGCCCAAGGTCACCCCAGCCCCTGCTCCATCTCCTTGCCTCCTATCGCTGGATCCAAACACCGCTTCTCCTCCACCTCGCCCAGCCTCCAGTGGGCCCGTCTCCCCTCAGGCCTGGGGACCCGGGTCCTGGCTCTGTCCTCATGGGCCTCCCCCAGGCACTTGCTGGCAAGGAGACCACGGGGAACAGCACCGTCAGCCAGGGGCAGGGGCAGGGGTGGCTTCTGAGCCATGGAGGCAGCTGGTGGGAAGGCAGACCC